AAACAGATAATTTCTTTCTCATCCCCAGGGATTATCTTCATGCCAGGGACAACCCAGCTGAAGGCCAAGGACATTCTCTACCGACTAAAGGAGTCTAATGCCCAGAGCATCGTGACCACAGATGCCCTTGCCCCGGAGGTGGACTCTGTGGCTTCTGAGTGTCCCGCTCTGAAAACCAAGCTCCTGGTGTCTGACCACAGCCGTGAGGGGTGGCTGGACTTCCGATCTCTGATTCAGTGAGTTTCGGGTCTGATGGAGGTGCTCTCTGAGGAACGGTGGGAGAAGGCCCTCCGCACCCAAGCGCTGTAGACAGACAGCTGGTGGTAGGAAGCTCACCAGGCCTGGCTCCAGAAACCTCTTCCCAGCTGTGTCCCTGACCTGCTGTGTGACCCTGGGCTACTTCCTGCCCCTCTCTTAGCCAAGGTTGCTTCATCTGTAATATCAGGACATTGCACTTCTATGCTTCTCTCCCTAAAGTTTGATCACCCCTGGGATGTGAAAGGAGGTGTAATGTCTGAGGATTATTGTTTCAAGCTTCTTGTAGGTGGGAATTTAAAAGGTTATTCACATATAAATATGAATGCATATATATGAACTAGAGTTCCGATCACGAAATTCATACAAGAGTAGGCCTTTCTTCCCCTGCTGCTGGCACTGGCTTCCCTCCGGCACCCCGGAGCCCGGCTTCCTTCACAGTCCCAGCTTCGTTTGAAAGGTCATCTGGAAAGACATTCAGTCTAATTAGCATATTATGCTTTTATTATTATAGAGAAGTTGAATGAGAGGTTAAAATGGATCTTTGAGGTGAAAGTTGAGACTGCAAGAAAAAATGAGGCTGTGACTGGCAGAGGGATTTGGGGGCAAACATCTCCCAGGGTCTGGGTGCCCTTAGAAAGTTAGGGAAATGCCGGGAGGTCAGAAAGACCCTCCACCTCCAATCCTTTAATTCTGTGAGCCTTCAGGCGTTTTTTACACTGTCGCGTAAGAAACTTCCGGACCTGTAGAAAATTTTACTTGAGCCAAAATAACAACATACTAGTATGCTGGGGAGCAAGACCTCAAATGCTCCGGAGAAAAACAGTTTGGTAGCTTCTTTAATGCATTTGAAATTCAAGAGGGGACGCAAAAAAGATTACAGGAAAGTGGGAGAAAGCCAGGTGGGGATGGGCTTACAGGATAGTTAAGATTAAGTGCTCTCTTGAGGGGTAACACCCCAGGCTTGCTTAAGGAAAAGATAACCCTTTCACCAGAGAAGTTATGTGTCAGGGGCCTGACTCCCCGCCATGCCCTGTCGGGTCAGGAATTTATGATCAAATCACCTGTGAGGTTAGTTCCACTGAGCATCCTTTTCCACCCACCGCTCAAACCTTGCTGGGTTTCTTTGCTTTGTCTCTTTTATTTTTCTGAGTTAACATTGGTTTATAACATACTAGAGGCCTGGTGCACGGAAGAGGGGGTGGTCCCCTCAGTCCGGACTGCATTCTCTTAAATCTGGGACCCCTCAGGGGAATGTCCGACTGCCGGTTTAGGCCTGATCCCCTGGTCCCTCATAAACCGGGACCTCTGGCTCCTAACTGCTCACCTGCCTGCCGCCCTAATCGCCCCTAATTGCCCCCTCTGCCAGCCTGATCACCCCTAACCACCTCTGCCTGCCAGCCTGATTGCCCCCAACTCCCGTGGCCTGGTTGCCCCTAACTGCCCCTCCTGATGGCCTGGTCACCCCCAACTGACCACCCTGCTAGCCTGGTCACCCCTTACTGCCCCCATGCTGGCCTGGTCACCCCAAATGCCCCTCTTTGCTGGCCTGGTCACCCCCAACAGCCCTCCCATGGGCCTGGTTGCCCCTAACTGCCCCCCTCCCTGCTTGGTCACCCCCAACTGTGCCCCCGCCAGCCTGGTCTTCCATTACTGGCCCCGTGCTGGCCTGCTCACCCCCAACTGCCTCCCCCTGCTGGCCTGGTGGCCCCTCAGTGCCTCCCCTGGAAGCCTGGTCCCCCCAAATACCCCGCTGCCAACATGGTCGTCCCACATAGCCTGCTGTTCAGTCATTTGGTCATCCCTCACTAAACCCCCTGCTGGCCTTGTCGCCCCACGCAGCCTGCTGTTTGGTTGTTACTGTTAAAGTGATGGCATCCTGGACAATTTGCATATTCCTCTATTATTAGTATAGATAAGTTGCACTGGGTTTGTTTTCTTGAAGTAACCCTTCTGTTTTTAAAGTAAAATGTTTTTATAGTCACACCTTCTGGTGGACTCTAAGGTCTGAGAGTTGGGCTCTCCCTTCAGGGAGCACGCCCTCACCTTCCCCTGGCGCTACCTTTGCCTTTCTCTCTCCTCAACTCCAAGGGCCCTTCTTCTGCCCCAAACTTGTTTCCTGAGCCAATGCAGCCCAGCTGGCTCACTTCTACTACCTCTGTGGCTTTCTAGATAAACTTTCTTTTATAATTTGAATAAATAAATAAAGTCAGAGAGTTCAAAAAACAAACTTAAATAAATAATACTGTTGCCTGGCCCACATGGCTCAGTGGCTGAGCGTTGACCTATAAACCAGGAGGTCGAGGTTCCATTCCTAGTCAGGCCACATGCTCAGGTTGCAGGCTCCAACCAAGGTGGCAGGGGGGCGGGGGGAAGGGAGGCTGCCAATCAATGATTGTCTCTCATCATTGATGTTTCTACCTCTCTCTGCCTCTTCCTTCCTCTCAGAAATCAATAAAACATATTTTAAAAAATAATACTGTTGAAAAATCCCTTAAATTGCCCAGAGTCAGGATGGTACCATTTCTCAGCAAGAGCCAGTGTTCCCTCCAGCATTTGGACGATCTGCAGTTTCTTTGAACAACAGAGGAAGCTCACAAACCCAATCATCGCAGGCCCTGGAGACTGAGTGTAGAAGCTGCCAGGAATCAAGGCCCACTGATTCTATCTTCTTTCACTCTTACTCTCCTGTGCTTTCTCCACTCCTCTCCCCCGCCCCCGCCCTGCTCCTTATCACCAAGGTTATGGAGTGAAATTCCTGTAAACCTAGTTTGTGTGAAAAGAAGCTTAGCAGTGTGAGTAAGAGGACAGTCTCTGCATCACACTGGGTTTGAACCCTGGCTCTGCCAATTGTTGGCTGTACGTCTTCAGGCAAGTTACCTAACCTCTCTGAGCCCCAGTTTCCTCATCCACAAAGAGAGCATGACAAGTTGGGCATAGTAACCTCTTAGGATTGCTTGGGTAAGAGGACTGACATTTCTTCATTTAAAAAATGGGCTGTGTTTTCCCCATTTTTTAAAAGAAGAAATGTCAGTCCTCTTACCCAAGTCACCCATAAACACTGATGCTTCAGACCGGGAGACGAGTTTTTCCTCCAGTGTTGCAAAACCCCAGTTTCTGCCTGGGCCAGGTATTCAGCTGGTTAGAGTGCCAAGGTTGTGGGTTTGGTCCCTGGTCAGGGAACATACAAGAATCCACCAATGAATGAATAAATAAGTAAAACAGCAAATCCATCTCTCTCTCTCTCTCTCTCTCTCTCCCTTGCGTGTCTGTCTGCCTCTTTCTCCCTCTCTCTCCCTCCCTCTCTCTAAAATCTATACAAACAAACCAGGTTTCTGACTTTGAGCCTCATGTTGTGTCTTTTGCTGACCCTGAGGGTGGAGCCAGGAGACTTGACTTCTCTCCTTTTCTGTTCAATCCCTTTGTAGATCAGCATCCCCAGATCACACCTGTATTAAGTCAAAGACCACGGACCCAATGGTCATCTTCTTTACCAGTGGCACCACCGGCTTCCCCAAGATGGCAAAACACAGCCATGGACTTGCCTTGCGACACGCCTTCCCTTCGAGGTAGGAAAGAGGGCAGCAACTTAGAGGCTGGGTCACAGTCTGGAGCAAGGGATGTGTGTGTGTGTGTGTGTGTGTGTGTGTGTGTGTGTGTGTGTCTGTGTGTGAGTGTGTGTGTGTGTGTGTGTGTGTGTGTGTGTGTGTGTGTGTTGGGAAAGGTGCTCTAAGTAGAACTGAGTCCATCCTGCTTCTCCCTTCTGGTGTCTTTGCTTCAGACCACTGAGGGTCTCCGAGGCGAAGGTCTGGACTTCTAAGTGTGTGTTGACAGAAGCCTCCCAGTGACAAGGGGGTCCTGCCTGAGCACCTTCACAGGTGTGGAGGGAACGTGGGTGCAGGCAGCAGGCATTCTGCAAGCTGCACAAATGACAAGCCATGTGTCTTTGTCACTGGTTCCAGGTTTGCTGGGAGGAGAACAGAAAGTTCTAGCTGTGTGAACTGTACAGATACAGAGGTGGAGTTTCCCAGTCATGAGCCATTAGGGGGAAGTAATACCTGGAACCAGGTCACTGCCTTTAACCTAAAATAAATAATTGTAGAGGCTGAAGACATAGTTTTGGGTTAATCATTTAATCAATATTAAACCAATCTTCTCCCTCTTACTTTCTCCTCTCCACCTAGTTCTATATATTTTGTACCTTATTAACCAGACCAGAGGGCAGAGAAGGTGTCTTGTGGACACTGGGTGTCTGTGCTAACAATAACACTTAACCAAAAAAAATCCTGAAGGCATGGGGGTGGAGAGAAGGGGGTGTTCTGTGTAGTCAGAACAACACAAGCAAAAGAACAAAGATATAAAAAGTAGCACTCATAGAACTACAGAGATTTGAGAGCAGCTGCTGCTCAGGGTGCCAGGGAGGCACAGATGGGAGGAGCTGAGAGTGAGTGGGGCCCAGAGCACACAGGGTCGTGGGGACTTTGGTGCAGAGATTGAGCTTATTGGGAAAACAATAAGCTTATTGGCGGTATTGAAAGGTTGTTAACAAGGGAGAGACCTAATCCAATTTGTATTTTGAAAAGATCAC